ATCCCTCTCCCAATTATATGCCTCAGAAAAATCCTAAGGCTAGCCCATAGGGAATGTAAATGGATATTCACCCTGGAATAACTTGTGGAAGAGGGAGTTGGAGCAACCAGGAGTTCATAATGGGAAATGGGTAAGAGGTAGAAGCTTATCATGGAGTAACAAGCAGCACTGAGAAGTTATGAATCATAGGCACCGAAGGGACATGGTTAATCTTACATGGGTCCTCAAACTAAAGCCTACCCAGGACATTTATCCGGCCCACCAGGTGTTTTTCCAGCCACTGCCTGTCCTGCTTAGCAACCAACTCATCCCGGCCTGCAGTCTGGCCCTCCAACAGTCTGAGGGACAGCGAACTGGCCCCCTGTTTAAAAAGTTTGAGGACCCCTGCAATGTGTTGAATAAAAAAGAGATACACAGGCTTGGCGCCTGTGTCTCAATCAGCTGGGGCGCAAGCCACATACACTGGAGCTGACGGGTTCGAATCTAGCCCGGCCTGCCAAACAACAATGACGGCTACAACAACAAAAAAGCTGGGCCTTGTGGAAGGTGCCGGTGGTCCCAGCTGCTTGGGAGGCGGAGGCAAGAGAATTGCTTGAGCCCAGGAGTTGGGGGTTGCGGTGGGTGCTCTACCCAGGGTGACAGCTTGAGGCTCTGTCTCAAAAAATAAAAATAAAAAGATACACAGCACCATATCATTTATATACAATTAAAATTAAAACAGACATACAAAAAGACAATGTAGGCTCGGCACCTATGGCTTAAGCAGCTAAGGCGCCAGCCACATACACCTAAGGTGGCGGGTTCAAATCCAGCCCGGGCCGCCAAACAGCAATGATGGCTGCAACTGAGACCGGGCCTTGTGGCGGGCACCTGTGGTCCCAGCTACTTGGGAGGCTGAGGCAGTAGACTCGCTTGAGCCCAGGAGGACGGAGACTGCTGCTATGTCAAAAAAAAAAAAAAAAAAAAAAAGACAATGTATTTTGCAAGGATACAAACATGTTCAAATGTCACTTCCTCACCCTAACCCATCCGGTGCTGCCTCCTCTTTTTTTTTTTAAGTGGGTCTGAAGAACATGGTGGAAATGAGCAGGCAGTTCACAGAAGAGAAAGCCCAAATGACTAACAAGTACATGAGGAAGTGCTCAAACTTAGTAGGAATTAGGGACACGGAAATTGAAGCAATGAGATACCTCTTTCAGACTTGTCCAGAATGTCAAATATGAGAATGGTAAATACCCAGTGATAGTGAGGATGTAGAGACAGAAACACCTTTTCAGGAAAGCAATCTGACAAGACACAGGTAGGTGTAAACCTTGGAATCCAGC